TATCAACCTAGCACTAAAGCACCTTTTTTGCAGAATCTCCCCACTTATGATAGCTGCCTAATAATGCAGTCTCAATTGTGGGTTTTTTCTCAATAACACTACACAAATCCCCTTTTGTGTTTGGGGAAACCTATTCTAAGGACATAATCCTAATGTGCAATTAGTATTATTTAGACCAAGTGCTATTCAGTGGTCACTTCATGATGACGCTTTAGAATTTACAGGACCTGAGAACTAGAGGGACAAAACCACACACTCTTATGAAGCTGGTGGTTAGCCACATGAGTTGTAAAGATCTGAAAGTCCTTCTTAAGCTCAGCCACTCAATTAGCAATCATTTGTGTGAAAGATTTGAGAGCCACATATGACAGCAGACTTACCCTCAGAATCGCAGCTTGCTACTACCATTGAATACCAAATCCTCACTTTGTTGAAAAGACACATGTAGCCTAATAAATGACATTTTAATTGAGGCAAGTGCTTGAGAAAAACAAAAACTTCTTCCAACCGCAAGTCCATTTTGACTATATGAAACATGTTATTTCAACCTCGTTTGGCACAATCCCTGGACTATTTCCTTTAACAAAAAAAAATCAGCTGTCACTTCAGGGATGTCACTAAAGCAAAACCTAAGTAGGAAAGTAAAGCTCCTGAAAAAGAATACCATGCAAATGGGTGAAAAGCCTATTTTGGTGCTTGCACACTACACTTGCTCCAGTATTTTGTGAGAATACAAAACCCGTGGTCTCTTGGAAAGCACCTCTCCCTTCCCCTTCCCACTGAGGTGCATCACCTTTGTCTTTCTCTCTAAGCTCCAAGAGCCCTTCTGCCTCTGTAATTTGTTTCCTGAGCCTACACAGCCCAACTGGCTCACTTCTACTACCTCCACAACATCCTAAAATGTTCTCTTATAATTAAAAAAAAAAAAAGACTACTACACTCCACTAAACCACCTGTGCAATTGATAACACAGTGTAGATGCACCCTCTCTCCTGGGATACACATGCAGTTCACATTTTCCATCCATTTGCTGTTACCTCCGGCTATAGGAGCCTTCATCTATAGTGGGCCCTTAGCTCCTGAGGAATAGGAACATGATGTAATACAAACATAGATCATTCATGTTGGATGTCATGTGACACTAGCCATTAACCTACAGAGGATGCTCCATCACCTCACTACCTCAATTAAGGTGTAAATGTTTCATGAAGAAGTGAATGACTACTCTGCTATTGTCACTTCTATTTTGGGAGTCTGTCACTCTCCTATTGACATCTGAAGGAAACTTATACACTCTTCCCAGAGCTGATCCACTGATGCTATGGCTGGCTATCCAGAATCACGCCATCTCTCCAAAAGGCTGGAAATCTTTATGCTTGCCTTTCCAGCCACAGTTACAGCTAGTAGTCATGCTACCCAGACTACTGGAAAGAAAAACTACTGGAGGCTTCTGGGAAAGCTTTTGCTTTCGGGATAAAAGACACAGATGACTGGTGTCATGCCTTCCCCTACTTCCTGACTGGAGTACACATGTAATGTCCACGGCTGGCCAGTCACCTCCACACTGTGAGTTAAAAATGAGGAGACACTGAGTCAAAAGCCCTGAATTCTTGGCTGATAAATAAATACTAACAATTACCTATATCCAGCTTTTTTAATGAGAAAAATAACTCTATTTGTTTAAACCATTTAATAGTCATATTTTCTAATGCACATATTTTCTAATATCCACGGTATTCATAGCACAGATCAAGCACTTCTTTATAATCTCTTCCAGCTTTTTTAAACTCCAAATAAAATTATCAACATAATTCCTAATCAAATTAACACAATTATTTAAACATATGTACAATAAATGTTACAGTACATGTATCCATGTTACTGTAATAAAGGCACACAATAATTCATCAACATCCTGGCTATATAACGGCACATCAAGATTCAGAAGTATTATATCTAATATTACATGAGATACTGGAGGGAGTTACCATCGGTGTTACTAATCCTTATTTTCCAGTTTATATGTATCCTTTTGGAAGAATTCAGAAAGTTAAATTATACACTTTAAGTTTAGATATATGAAACTATTTGTTAATATTTAAGATTAAAGCAACTTGTACAGATTATATCAGTGATAAATTACATGAGTCTAGAAATTTTATTCTGATTTTTAAAATATACATTTTATTTATATTAACACATACTTTTAATATAATAAAGGCTCTAGTTTTACAGACTGGCTCATAAAGGAATTATAAAATATCTTAAAAATAAAATCTATATATAGTATAGCTTTTATTGAATTGCAAGAGATGAATTTTTATTTAATTATACATGTAAAAATCTTTGGAAACAACAAAATAATGAAGACATCATAAGTCCAATTTCCTGTGTTCTGGGATTAATTTAATGTTTCTTTCATACTCAGATCCCACCATCCCCTACCTCAAGAAGCTGAATAAGGCAAGGGATAAAAGTAAAAAAAAATAAAAATAAAGGCAAGACAGATACATCAGATAGGTAATTAATTACACAATACAGGTTCTAATGGAAGTCTGGCCCATTCCCCAACCTTCCCTGGGCTCTGTTCATTTACCCATTGGGTTGGGATAGCTACAGCACCTACTGAATAAAAAAGACACTGGATTTTAACAACGTATTTTAAGGATGCTAGTGTGTTCTTGAGGAAACAGGTAAAACTTTTATCTATAACAAAGGGAATTACTCAGACATAAAAGCTTTTTTTACTGGGAGACGATTTCAGACATAGAAATCTACAATTTCAAATATACCCAATCTCAATGAACAGTGAAATGAAGAGATTTTTTTTAACATTTACAACCCCTGTAATACTGTAGAAGTTTCTATTATACATAACTGCAGAACACTAAATTCTCATAATTATTTTTGCTGATTATTATGTCAAATATCAAGAGTTAACCAATCAAGAGTTATCAATAAAACTAGATTTCATGCAAAAGTATCACTTAGGATAAATTACCTTTTCTAGTACGAAATTAATTTCCTTAAAGAAAATAAGTACCATGTACTAAAAACAGTGCTATGCCAAGTAGTATTCCTGTATACACGTTTCTAATACAAACTAGCTATAAGCAAGAGAAAATAATCAACCACATAATAACAAGGCAGATTATATGCTTTCATTAACTGTCCTATGAAAAGTTATCTTTAAAGGAAATTTGGGAGGGCTATCATTTTTATTTTATTGACAACTACTAAGTGATTTATTTCTAATGTTTAGCAGTCCCAATTTAGTAAACACTGAAAGCTCTGGTAATCAGAAAAGATTTTGTATTTAAGAGTAATTCCATGAAATTCTCTACTTCATATTATAGAATAACAAATTAATGCATGCACTATAGAACTGTGCTATTCAGTACAGGCCACTGGCCTCATGTGGATAATGAGCACTTAAATGCGGCAAGTCCACATTAGAAAACACACGCCAGGCATTCGTATAAAAGAATATAAAATAGCTAAATGATTTTTAATATTGATTGCATGTTGAAATGATAATATTTGGGATCTATTGAATTAAATGAACTATATTATTAAAATTAACCCCAGTTTATTTTTTTAATATTGCTGCTAGAAAATTTAAAATGACATATGGCAGGGGTCCTCAAACTTTTTAAACAGGGGGCCAGTTCACTGTCCCTCAGACCGTTGGAGGGCCGGACTATAGTTTAAAAAAAAACTATGAACAAATTCCTATGCACACTGCACATATCTTATTTTGAAGTAAAAAAACAAAACAGGAACAAATACAATATCTGTATTTGCATGTGGCCCGCGGGCTGTAGTTTGAGGACCCCTGACATATGGCTTCACATTATTTTTCTATTCTACGGCAATGCTATAGAAACAGCAGGCTCTTTAATCCCAACCCACATCCTTAAATTCTTATCATTATGGAACTTGAGATAACATATTTCAATATATTAACACAAGGTTTCTGAGCTTAGATTCAAATACAACTCTACTCTTAAAAACAAAACAAATCCTATTTTATAATCTTTTTCATCATCTTCTGTATACTGGCAACTGTGCTAAACTTTGGTTAGTTATGAGTCTGCAAACAGGCAAAGTAGTCTTTGTGGGAGATGAAAATGTTCTAAAATGATTGTGATGATGGCTGCACAACTATAAATGTACTAAACAATCACTGGACTGTATAACTACAACCGGCAAATTGTATAGCATGTAAATTCAATAAAGCTGTTTGTTTTTAAGTATACAGCTAGACCCCAGTAGATCTGAAGTGCCATTTAGAAACTGCATATAAATTTTAGGTAATTCGAATATAAATTTTCAATCCCTATGACTCAATATTGCAATGAGAATTTTTCTATGAGTATCCTGTTACTTGCAGTTGGTCCACAGTAAACAGTGGATTATGTAATCACTCACCAGAGGTATAAGTGGAATAGGACAAAGGGAACATTAGAGTAACTGGGAATGGACAGTTCATTTGTGTTTAGGGGTTCCCAGATCAGGCAATCACAGCCCTTATGTACAATATTCTTGCAAATCCTTTACCCAGTCTGGGCACCTTATAACTGATTATCTGTTGGTATTTCTCCATCTTAGACAGAATACTTAAATATAATAAACTTCCTACTCTACACTAATAAAACCAAATAAAAAAATACATAAAGTCAAAACTAACATTTAATAAATTTCCGTGGGGAGCTAAAAATTAAACTACTGATGTTTTTTTCCCTATTACAAGAAGAAGAAAAAAAAGTGGGAGAAAAATCCAGCAACTCAAAGTTCCAATTTAGAAAAAAAATATTAATAAATTTCAAGTTAAGAAAATAGGATCATTTACACATCATTTCTGTCAGTTCTTGAAACAAATTATTTTCAATCTAAAATTTGTGAGATATTCACCATGGATAATGTAGTACTACAACCTTTTATTTATATATTTTTTTAACATCATTGCTAATAGCAAAAAAATAAAGACAAAAACCAGCTCAACTTTTTTCACGTTATCAAAATGGGTCTGAGGATCTAGGCTTTCTTTACACTCAGGTAAACACAGTAAAGTGAAACACAGATCAAACCTTCATGCACCTGAACCACCATATGCTCTTGTGCTTTTTGTAGTCTATCTGGCATGAATTTCCAGAGTTCACTTTACCCCATATTAACCACACACACAAAAAGGAAATAAAATGATAATAATGCAGAAAGAACTCACACTGAACACTGAAATGGATTTCAAGATGTGTGCATGTACACAAACAGATACACGCAAAAATTTGCCTGTATTAACCACACACACACAAAAAGGATTGCCTGGACACATTGAGATGCCTCAAGTTCTTATTTTAGAAGTAAACTAGGTGGACAGTTCAAAAGCCAGAGTCATTTGGGATATTAAAATCATGTAGAATGTTCCTTTAAGGCAGCCATAGAATCGAGGGACCAATTATTATTGTTCATTCTAGTTACAAAATGACTCTCTGAATGCATTTGTTATAGTTCCAGACAAAAGTTTCATCACAATTATGAATGTTTGTGAAGTAGTAATATTTTATAGTTGAGTGATACTTTTAAAACTGGAACATGTACAGAACATTCACTGAATTTGACCTAGATGATTCCCTGTTGCTAAATACAGGATACCACCAGCCACTTCACAAAACTCAGACTACTGTTTAATCAATGGTGTATCCCATCACATAGATGGCAGTTTTTGTACTGTTTCATGCGTAAATGTTTTAAGACTCCCAAAATAAATGCACATAAAAAACAATCATATTTTTAAAGATATTCACAAAATAATGCTATCTAGGAATCAAAATTGAAATGCTTTTGATTTGATTCTATAGTTACTATAATATCTACCCATTTATTTCTGATCTTTTCAATACTTAAAGCAGTGCAAGTCAGTTGATAATGAAGTTCATATTTATAAAATATAAAGAGCATTTTCTTTAGTCCAAGATATTGGCAAACTCATAGAGCATGCCAAAACTAAAGCACTAATATTTAACTTTAAAAAAAAATTAGAACTTTTACAAAATGTCCATAAAGCTTTAAAATAGATTATTTTAACCTGACGGCATAAAGCTTGTGCTCTCTCTAAATTCAAAGCAGCCAAAAAATTCATACTGAGGCACTATTCATTTTCTTAAGAGTTTGAGTCAAAGAATTGTTATCTACTTCAAGGTGGATTTCTGTCATGCTCTCCATTCATGACACACAGACTGCCATACCAAACAAGGTGCAAATAACTATTTAAAAAAACTACAATGCCCTCTCTTAGACAGCTATTTACTTTAGGAATAAAATAACACAAAAATATCTCAAATTTTTCTACAAGCTATACAGAGGAGAGAAAAGGGTGATGATTTTTACAGGCCATGGAACTGAAAGGAATTGATTCAGAGGGTCATAGTACTACAAGTTTAAACGTCTTATGCCTTTCATAAGGCTTTTTGTAAATCACCATAGAAGTTGATTAAAGTGCTTGCCATGGCTGTATCTACTGCAGACTGAGGAATCATCCCACGCAGATCCGTCTGAATATAGCCTGTCAAAAGACTCTGGTTTGTATTGTCTTTAAGTGGAACACAAAACCAACCGCAGGGATGGTTATATCCACGAACAAATTCTGCTCTCTTCTCACTCCAGTCAAGGCTGACCCCTACAAGGCAATTTGAAAATAACACTATTAATAGGAGTGACTGACATAAGTCTAAAACTCTGGATATTTAAAATATTAGATTTCTTGTTTCAGTATTTGTCTTGTTATCCCTGTAGATGAAAATTCAGCCCCAAGAGGGACCATGGAAGAATGAAAAAGAATAATTACCAAGCCGAAACCGGTTTGGCTCAGTGGATAGAGCGTCGGCCTGCGGACTGAAGGGTCCCAGGTTCGATTCCGGTCAAGGGCATGTACCTGGGTTGCGGGCATATCCCCAGTAGGAGATGTGCAGGAGGCGGCTGATCGATGTTTCTCTCCCATCGATGTTTCTAACTCTCTATCTCTCTCCCTTCCTCTCTGTAAAAAATCAATAAAATATTTTAAAAAAAAAAAGAATAATTACCAAGTAGATTTCTGACAGGGAGCTAAGACAGGTAATGCAGAAAACTCTAATCCCTTCAGAATGGATGGTATCATGTCATCTTGGGAACTCCTTGGAAACTAAGAATCTTGGATGTAGCATCCAGGCCTCAAGGTGCCAATAACAAACTTATGGACCCAGCCAGTATGGTTCAGTGGTAGAGCGTCGACCTATCAACCAGAAGGTCACGGTTCAATTCCCAGTCAAGGCACATGCCTGGGGTTGCAGACTTGATCTCCAGTAGTGGGTATGCAGGAAGCAGCCTATCAGTGATCCTCTCTCATAATTGATGTTTCTATCTCTCCCTTCCTCTCCCTTCCTCTCTAAAATCAATAAAAAATATATATTTTAAAAAAAACCTATGGTACCACCAGTCTCCACAGGCACTCCGTATCCAACTTTGGTAGTAGCTGGTCAAAAATAAACAAATAGATGTTTAACTACAACTGGCAACTCAAGTATATACAGAAAACATATTAACTTACATACAGGTATATCTTAGGAAGCAGGAACCTTCTAATAGCACTATTTTTAGTTTCAAAAGTAAAATTGTACACAACTCAGAAAAGGAGAACACCCTAACACATACCAAGTCTATTTGTGTGTGTGTGTGTGACTAAGAAGCTATTTTTCATTTACTGGATCTCTTTCTTAGAAGCAGTCATGTTATCCATGTTTGTTAGCTGTGATCTGGAGCAGCGGCTGCCAACCTTTTGGAACTCACAGACCACCAGTGGTCTGTGGACCACCGGTTGGCGACCACTGATCTGGAGGATAGCATGTAACTGGAAACAAAAACTTGAATTTCAGAACCCTTCTTGATATTGTTATTTTAATCTCTAGGGTTCATTATTTATAAAGCTTAGGATTATAAAATAATTATGAAAACATATCTTGCATAGAAAAAAAATCCAGCCTAGAAAACTCAAATATTTAAAATAAATTGAAAGACAGTATACAGTTTTGAGATCATTACCACAAGATAAAAGCCCTCCATTATAGTCCACAGTGTAGGAGAAATCAACAAACTCTCTTGGGGAAATGATATTCCAAAGCTGACCAGCAGTAGTGTAACGCATCACACAGCAATTCTGAAGGACAAAAGGTAACAGGTGTTACTTCCTACTCTAAGGACACATACAATCATGTATCATAAGTTCATCCTTAGTAAAAAACTAATACTCATCTAAAATGTCTTATAATTAGTAGTAATAATTCTTACAGTGATTCTGACAGGCTTAGATTTCTATTCTAAATCTCACTGCTGCTATATACACATGAAGAAGATATATAATAAAAATATATCCAAATCTCTAATTCAATAGTCACTTTGTATCCTGTATAATATTCAACATGGAAGTAGGTGGTGTAACCCTTAGGTGTTTAAGATAAAATACACAAATACATTCACTAAAACACCACATAATTCAATAAAGACGTTTAGCCCAACTGGCATGGTTCAGTGGTTGACCATCAACCTATGAACCAGGAGGTCATGGTTCAATTCCTGGTCAAGGCACATGCCCTGGTTGCGGGCTCGATCCCCAGTATGGGGCATGCAAGGAGGTAACTGATCAGTGATTCTCTCTCATCACTGATGTTTCTATTTCTTTCTCCCTCTCTCTTCCTTTCTGAAATCAATAAAAATATATTTTAAAATAAATTCAAACATGGTAAGAACTAAATTAATGAAGACAGAAAAAGACAGGAAGCCACTTTGTTTAGAGTGACATCTTTGGTCTTTGATTTTGACTTCAACAGAAAATTTACATACAATTTACCTGGAAACCTGAATATAATAGTGGTGTTTTCAGAATCTTAGATTTCAGAAAATAAACTCAGTTCTTCTGAACTTCTGAAATCTTAGATAAATAAAAAACTCAAGCTTTTTAAAAAGCAGCAAGGATTCCCCTGTGAGACCTCTGCCATGACTACTTATTCTCAAAGCAATGAATGCAAGTGTGTACACATGCTCACACCCACATGGGTACTCGCCCCCCCCCCCACACACACACGCACTCTCTCTTCTCTCTCTCTCTCTCTTACACACACACACACACACACACACACACACACACACACACAATCTGAAGTAATGTTTCTAAACAAATACCTCTTCAAAGTTCTCCAAAATGTCCAATGAAGTCATTAAGCTGTCCCAATCCAAGCGACAGGGACCTGGGCGTATATGGTCCATTATATCATTAACAACACCATCTATAATACCTTGGGCTTTGAAACTGGAAAGAAAAAAAAAAGGCAAATACTACTGGAATGAAAATTTCAGCATGCCCTCCTACATAGTTCGGAACTAACTAGAGCAAACGTCAATGAAGATTGATTGATCGATTTTTTTATTGTTAATCCTCACCCGAGGATATTTTTGCATTGATCTTTTGGAGAGAAAGGAAGAGAGGGAAAGACAGAGAGAAACATCGATGTGATAGAAATACATCGATTGGTTGCCTCCTGGATGCGCCCTGACCAGGGCCTGGGCTAGGGAAGAACCTGCCACCAAGATACGTGCCCTTGACTGGAACTGAAACCGAGACCCTTTGGTCCGCAGGCCAATGCTCTATCCACTGAGCAAACCAGCTAGGGCAATGAATATTTATTAAAGGGAGTAAATCCCAACAACTTTTCTGATAAATTAAGTTCTATCAATTATTTTATCAGAATGTACTCTTTGTCCTCAAATCTAATAAGAAATCTGAAGGCTATATTATATGTTATCACGAACACAGTACTGGTAAAGTACCGTCATGTTATGCCATTGCCAAAAAGTCTGCAGAACACTGTAATGTTCCCATTTATTTTGCATACTATTCTTTTCTCAGTTATACTCTGACATGTTATTAGTATAAACATATTTTTATACACTGGAAGAATATATATGCAACACATATGAACAGAAGTGTAGTTATTATACAGGATATATAATTAGTTCCTATAAATCAATAAAAAAAACAGACAGTCCAAAGAAAAGATGGGCAAAGGACATGATAAAATTGACCTGAAATGTCAATAAATTTAGAAAAGATGTTCAACTTCACTCATAGTCAACTAAATACTAGTAAGATACCATCTCATGTGCCTCAGATTGGCAGAAATTATAAACTTAATAACAAGTATTAAGAATTGAGTGGAAGGGAATGAGAACTCTCAAACTGTTATCACCACTTTAGAGAGCAATTTGACAATGGTGAGTGAAGTTGAATGATGCACATCCCTAAGACCCAGGTACATACCCCAAGAAAATCACACATGTGTAGGAGACATACTAAGAAGTTTACTGTAGCACTGTACTTACAGGGAAGAATTGACAACAACCTACCCATATATAAAAGCTTAAGTGAACAGACGACCAGATGACCGGCTGGTAGCTATGACACACACTGACCACAAGGGGCAGACGCTCAACGCAGGAGCTGCCTCCAGCTGGTCAGTGCGCTCAGCTGATCAACGGGCGCCAGACACAGGGCTAATGGCTGGCAAGTGCAGCTGTGGAGGAGAGAGTCTCTCCCACAGATACTCCCCCTGCATGCTCCTTCCCCATCCAGACTGGGATCGGGATTGAGACTGACCAGACGTGAGCCCGCGCCACTTCTCCGGCAACACACGAGGAGTGAGGATGTGATGATGAGTGGCAGCTGTGTGGTCATGGGTGCGCCGGTACCGCCCTAGGGCAGGCATGTGGAGACCACAGCAGAGCGGCAGCAAGCCTACCTAGCCGCAGCGGCAGCAGCAGGTGCAGCGGGGCTGGGATGAAAGGGAACTGCGCAGGCTCCTCCCCAGCCACCTGCCACTTCGCACACTACTTCATACTGTGTGTGACTGACAGTGGTTGAGGTAGTAAGCAATGGCAAAGGACGGGCTGGAGCCCAATGAGCTGGCGGGTAAGGCTGGGCTACGATGGCATGGGGGTCCACTGATCCCCTCAGGCCAGGCCGAGGGACCCTACTGGTGCACGAATCCATGCACCAGGCCTCTAGTCTATATATATATAAAAGCCTATAGTGACCAAATAACTGGTCAACCAGTCTCAATGATGCACACTGACCACCAGGGGGCAGATGCTCAATGCAAGAACTCAGCCATAAGCCAGGCTCATGACTGGCTAGCGCAGCTGCAGCAGCATGAGCCTCTCCTGCCCCATTGGCAGCAGGCGCAGCGGGACCAGTATGAGCAGGAGCGCTCCTCCCTGGCTGCCTGCTGCTTCATGCACTGCTATATCCCTCAGGGGATGTTGGACTACCAGTTTTAGCCCAATCCCCGGCCTGGCCTGCAGGGATCAGGACGAAACCAGCAGTCCGACATCCCCCGAGGGGTCCTGGATTGTGAGAGGGCGCAGGCCAGGCTGAGAGACCCCACCGGTGCACGAATCCGTGAACCAGGCCTCTAGTAAAGTTTTAAGTAGGAAATCTGCAAACAGATAAACACATTGTGGTATATATACACTGAGTGGCCAGATTATTATGACCACCTGACGTTTGTAGGCAAATTAGCTGTAATTTTGCACTGAAGTTGCTAGAGGGCCAGACCATTATAAACAGGGAAGCAGGTTGTTTACCACGACAGTAGAAGTGATTTTTTTCTGAAGATATGGGTAAACAAAGCGATTTAACAGACTTTGAACATGGGATATATTTGAACATGAGTAGCCAGATTATTATGACCACCCCATCAGTACTTCGTTGGGCCACCTTTTGCCTTCAATACTGCGGTGATTCTTCTTGGCATTGACTCCACGAGATGCTGAAAGGTGATGCGAGGAATCTGACAACATGCCTGATGAATAGCACTGTCCAGTTCTGTGAGAATCCATGGTTGTAGAACCAGCTGCCTGATGGCTCTTTTAACTTCGTCTCACAATGCTCAATTGGATTGAGATCTGGTGATTGTGGGGGCCACCTAAGCAAGGTAAAGTCTCCCTCACGTTCTTGAAACCAGTCCTACACAATACGAGCACCATGGCATGGCGCATTGTCTTGTTGGAAGAAGCCATCTCCGTTGGGATACACCATCAACATGATAGGATGAACCTGATCAGCAATGATACTTAGGTATGTTGTGCTATTCAGATGTTGTTCCACACGAATTAAAGGGCCCAAATAATGCCAGGAAAACATGCCCCAAACCATAACACTGCCCCCACCAGCTTGAAGGGTTGTACTCAAGCATGTGGGGTGCATGCTTTCATGCTATTTCTGCCAAATTTTCACTCTGTCATCTGCATGATGCAACTGGAAACGTGATTCATCGGACCACATGACTTTTTTCCAATGCTCGACTGTCCAATCGTTGTGTTCCTGTGCGAATTGGAGACGTTTAATCTTGGTAACTGCAGAGAGCAAAGGTGTTTGAACATGCCTTTGGCTTCCATATCCCATTTGATGCAGTGTACGGCTAATTTGCCTACATATGTAAGGTGGTCATAATAATCTGGCCACTCACGTTCAAATATATCCCACGTTCAAAGGCTAACGTTAAATCACGTTGTTTACCCAATCTTCAGAAAAATATCACTTCTACTGTCGTGGTAAACAACCTGCTTCCCTATTTATAATGGTCTGGCTCTCTAGCAACTTCAGTGCAAAATTATGGCTAATTTGCCTACAAACATCAGGTGGTCATAATAATCTGGCTACTCAGTGTGTATGTATATATATATATATACATACTAGAGGCCCAGTGCACAAAAATTTGTCACTCGGGGGAGGGGGGGAGGGTCCCTCTAAGCCTGGCCTGTGCCCTCTCACAGTCTGGGACCCCTCGAGGGATGACCACCTGCTGGCTTAGGCCTACTCCCTGGGGGATTGGGCCTAAGCTGGCAATCAGACATCCCTCTGGCAGCCCGGCAGCCCTCGGGGGATGTCCACTTGCCAGTGAGGAGCAGACCTAAGCTGCAGTCGGACATCCTTAGCGCTGCTGAGGAGGCAGGAGAGGCTCCCACCACCACTGCTGTACTGGCAGCCATCAGCCTGGCTTGTGGCTGAGCAGAGCTCCCCCTGTGGGAGTGCACTGACCAACAGGGGACATCTCCTGCATTGAGCATCTGCCCCCAGTGGTCAGGGCACGTCATAGCGGCCAGTTGTTCCGCCGTTCGTTCAATTTATGTTAGCCTTTTATTATATAGGATGCTAAGAAATTAAGATCTTATTAGTCATTTCACATCATTATTTATGATCCCCTCACCATCAACTCAGTACAGAAGGGTTATGGAAATAGGCTTTGACTTCATAAGGTAACTTGCTTCTCAGAAAGTTTAAATCTTAGAAGCAGAGGCCTAATTTTATTGGCAATGATCATTTAGTGATCATTAATGTTTCTGTGTGTGTATGTATAAAACATTCAGCAATGTCTTAAGAGCTACATAAAACTACTAGAATTTACGTACAGATATCCATTAAATTCTTCTGAAGGTTTTCTCCAAATCGTCACATTTCTCTAGAAAAATAAAAATAGTAAATGGTGATAATTATATAAGTGGAACCTTGGATATAAAACTGACAATTTTATATGTCTAAAGTATTAGTCTTTGCATTAAAACTTAAGCAAATATTCAGAGATGCATAAAAGTTATTTATACCATCAAATGATCCACATTTGAATTTTTTCTCTATCCTAAAATCCTTCACATTTTATTTAAATTTTAGACCTCCAAGAAAGATTTTTCAGTAGCTTAATATGACCCAAATACTGTAAAGATTCAATGATGGCACTATCTCACTGGCCATTTATTATTTTCCTATTCCAATCTTGTCTACTGACACATTTAGACTAAGACATTAAGAATGCTAAGTATTTCATTCTGAACTCACTCATATCTTTTAAAATATTAAATAATTCACATCTGTTCTGACAGTGCTACCTTGAATTAATCCCTACAATTTTTTACTGGTAATTACCCAAGAAATTCTGAATATCAGAATAGCTAAAGCACTTAACTGGAAGAGTCCTGGATTCTAGGATTGGCTCTGTGAACACTCAGCCATATGATAATTTGGGCAAGTCATGTTACTAAAAATACTAACTGGCCACTCCCACAGGCTTGTTGAAATATCTGAAACTATTCCAAAGTACCAATTACTATACTTCCTTAAATTAATAATGATACATTTTTTGTTGACTTAAGAGGCCATTCTTTAGGCTCTTGTTCCCCAAGTCTATTCTCATGTCCAATATCTAAAGAATTACTGAAAGCAGTACAGGATTACTATGTTTGTTCCTTTATGACCTGCTAAACCACCCACTTTATTCGGAAAATTATCTATCTTACACATCCATTTGCAGTATGGTCCACATTTTCCCATACTATTCTGAAAGATATTAACCAATTCGTTCGACAGAAGATACGCCCCAATTAAACAAATTTACCGTTTTCTTTGCAACACGCCACTTATCATCTTCAATGCTATGGTACTGGATGAGAGTGTTTTTAAGTTTAGTTGCAAAAGCAGCAGCATCGGGCAGGCCTTCCATTTTTTATTTTTTCCCTGTTACAAAGACCAAAATCAGCATCAGCAAACACCACAATTTGATGCAGTAGGGCAGGGGGTTTCAAGTGTGGCTTCATAATAGAATATCTCCTGGTGCTGGGAGCCGGTCCATCCTTGCTGTTTCAAGGGACCTGGCATATAGGGTATACTGTTCTTAATATGTTTGCTCACCTTCTTGGCGCTATGTGTTTTAACCAAGGTCATCTCTCTGAGAAAGGTTGTTTCTTCAGGTAGGGATTTTCCCCTGAAGTTAGGGAGGGAATAAAACCCCTTAACTAAGTGCCAGGTGGGTAATTAATCACTTTAACTACGAACAATCATGCTTAAGCTACATAATCTTTACTCCCTGGAATGGAGATAAGAAACGCCCTAACCTTTGGAATAGAGATTGATAGGATTGGAATCAACTGGTATAAATACAGATGTAACAAGACAACAGGACACAGAACCTAGACACAGAACCTACACAGAACCTAGAGACAGAAGAACTTCGCTGGAGAGAACATGGCAAAAGATCCTGGACAGAAACTGGCCACAGAACCTAGAGACAGAACCTAGCGAGAGAACCTGGCTGAAGAACCTAGAGACAGAACCTGGCTACAGAACCTGGATAGAACATGGCAAGAGAACCTGACTAGAACCTGGTGACTAAACCTGGCAAAAGATCCTGGACAGGACCTGGCTACAGAACTTGGTTGGAGAACCTAGCCAGAACCTGGCTGAAGAACCTGGCTACAGAATCTGGTGACCAAACCTGGCTGGGGAACCTGGGGAAACTGGCTGGAGAATCTGGACAGAACCTGGCTGGAGAACCTAGCGAGGGAACATGGCTACAGAATCTGGCTGGAGAACCTGGCTGGAGAACCTAGCAAGAGAACATGGACACAGAACCTGGCTAGAGATCCTAACCAGAACTTCGCTGGAGATCCTGACTAGAACTTGGCTAGAGATCCTGGCTAGGCTGCTGATCAACTGAACGCTGTCTCCGTGTCATTCCTTCTTCGCCAACTCCGTCCACACCTTTGGGGACCCCAGGACCTGCTGGGGCAGGACCCCAGCATCCTGGGGTGCTACAAAAAAGACCTATACCTGGACCCTACCCCAAATCAACTAGTCAGAATCTCTGAGAGTAGGACCTGGGCATATAGGTTTTTTCCCTAAATATTTCTAAAGTGAGTAACACATAGTTAGGGACGAGAATAATTTTAAGTTATTAAAAACTCATATAAATAATAAAATACAATCCTATTTTTCTTTCCTAATAGAATCCAATGAAAAGGAATAAAATTCTAAAATTCCAGATCACTTAAAGAAAAAAATTGCTATTTCCAAAATACAAAAATAATACACAAGTCATAGCTCTTTAAAAACTTTCTTAGATTTTAGCCACTGAACATTTTTTAATTTTACTATCCAACAGATTTAGGATTCATTCTAGCAAACAAATGAGAACCAGAACCTCTTCTAAAGACAGGGCTACAGAACTCCACACAATTTCACATTTTTTAAATGCTCCACTGTTTTTAATACTGTATTGCATTTGTTGAAGTGTTACAGGATTCAATTAGTTGACAGTGTAAGGAAGAAGGTCCTATGAAGACTTAGAACCACTAGTAAGTACAGCATCAACAAATGGTTCATAATTTTAAGGAAACAATTTTAACTATATAAAATAGAAAAAGTACTATATCATTAATAATCCCAAAGACAAGGTACTATTCACCATTATTTTAAAAAGGAAATTATTACTAATATTAAAAAATAACAAACTTAATATAAGGAATTCCGTAATGTGATGGTTTTAAAACACTACTAGAAATTCTTTGACACACCTCCCATGAAAAGATGGAGTCTAGGACTCCCAGGCTCTCTTAGGAAAGTCCATGCAGGTTCTGCAGGTTTCTTTTAGGATGATAGCTTTGGGAGCCTTTGAGCAACAAGCAAGCATGCAAAAAATCTGGCTATCCTGCAGCTGACATGTGGAAAGCAGAGGAAGAGGGAGAGAGACACCAACCATTCCCAAATCCAGAAGCTTAATGCCTAATTGGCATCTCCTGCTTCCCTCAAACTGCCTTAGCCTTCCCATCTTAGCATTTGCTATAAAAGGATAATTGAGCCAGCTGTGCAAAGTCCAAAACCTTGAAACCACTTGAGAGTCCTATCCACACCCTTCATCCCATTTACCTACAATGTTCTTGTCCTACCAGCTGTCTTTCTGTTTCTCAAATAGGCCAAGCTTGTCACGGACTTTGGGCTTTGGACTTGCTATTTCTCTGTCTGGATTGCTAGATCCCAAATTTGAGCATGACCAAAAACAACCTATAATGACAATTTTTCAATGTGAACCTCTGTCCTTAATACAGTCTTCTATTAAGTTCACTACTATAGTCTTCTTTTATTTTCTTCATAGTGTTTATCATGATCTGAAACTAAACTGTTCACTTATTGATATACTGTTTTCTACTCTTTGGCCATGACATCCCCAACTAAGAGCAGGGGCCCTTGTCTGCCTTATTCACCACCATATCCCCACTAATGAGAACACTGCCTGGAACACATCAGGCACCTAAGTGTGTTCGCTTCAAAACAAGAATTATTTGGTCTTAGTCTTGTCTCCTTTTGGTTCCGTGGTATTCTCCAGGAAAAGCCTAACGGAGAAAAGGTTTTGGGGGAAAAGCTGCCCATTTACAGACCCATCAAGCCAAGAGAAGATTTAAACGAAGTATCAAGCCTCTATGGAAATAAGGCTTCAATTCTCAACTACAGATGCATGCATTAGAACAGTGATGGCGAACCTATGACACGCGTGTCAGAGGTGACACGTGAACTCATTTTTTTGGTTGATTTTTCTTTGTTAAATGGCATTTAAATATATAAAATAAATATCAAAAATATAAGTCTTTGTTTTACTATGGTTGCAAATATCAAAAAATTTCTATATGTGACACGGCACCAGAGTTAAGTCAGGGTTTTTCAAAATGCTGACACGCCGATCTCAAAAGGTTCGCCATCACTGCATTAGAATCACCTTTGTTGTATTTTGTAGTAGTTGCTGCTATTGACAAAGACTCTCTCCTTAGTTCCTGAGTCCGATGTCTGACGAGGCATAGCTCTTGAGCTTGTCCTTAGCCCCCTTGATTGTTTTAGCAAATATCCTGCTAAATCAGTTTAGTGAAAATTCCCCACCCTCAAAAATTCCTCATTCCACCCTCATTCAACCACTCTGGCCTGCCTTGAGCAAGAAGCCTATCAAGTTGATTTAGCCAGAATCCCTCTTACCCCTAACGTTTCCCCTTAGTCATTTTCCCTCTGGTGATATCTTCCCTGTTCCTTGGCTATAAACTCCCACTTATCCTTGTTGCATTCAGAAGGAAGTGCAGCTCTTTACTGGGGTTTCTTTTTTCCCATTGCAATAGTTCTTAAATAAGATTTGCTTTTACCACTTTAACTTCTGCCTCCCTCAAGTTTTGACACTGGTTTTAAATGTTAGCTTTCAGGGCCCACTGCTAGGCAGTGTGATTCAGTGGGTCTGTTCTGGGATAGGCTCCAGAAATCCAGGTCCTTTAAAAAGCCTCACTGATCATTCTGTTATCCAGCCAGGACTGAAAACCATTGATGGAAAAACTAAAGGTGAGAGAAATAAATCAATGTTGCAGTCAATATTTAAAGATTGCAACAAAGAGCATACAAGCCATTAAAAACGATAAACTCTAAAATGATATAGAGCAGTAGGGGAGGAAAAAAACTTTTTCTCTACCCTCTTAAGGTTCTGTCTCGGAATGTGCGAATTAAACTGACAAAAGACAGGTTAACAGGAGAAAAGGTACACAAATCTTATTTGATGTTAACATTTTAATTTTAGGCTCAGAGGCCTTCATAAAAAGAAGTGTAGTGAAGACTGGGGAGGGGGGCAAGGGTCAGGTGGAGGGGGGTAATGAAGGAACATCTGTAATACTGTGAACAATAAAAAAAAAAAAGAGAGAGAGAGACATGAAACAATGCAATGCATGATCCTGTTTGGGATCTTGGACCAGAATGAAATTGTTATGAAGGACATTATTGGGACAAGTAGCAAGATTTGAAATAAAAAACTATAGATTAGAGAAAGCAATACTGCAAAAGGTTAACAGTAAATCTGGTAGAAAGATAAGCAAGACTTCTTTGCACTATTCCGGCAACTTTTCTATAAGTTTGAAATAATTTCTAACTAAAAATAAAAATTTAATAATAAGTTTTTTAAAAGTATCCTAACACTTTAGAAAAACCAATCACATGAGGCAATCACTAAAATATTTTATTTACCCCAAAGTTTAATCAATACAGCAAGAAAAAAAAAAGTGAAGACCCAAAGTAGTAGTTAGACCAGGGCTTATACAGCATTTTAATAAAGGGTGTTAAATTTTGGGGAAGTGACAAGATGAGGAAAAGGGATTGGGCTTCTAGGGGTGATAAATTATAGGAAGTAATTATATGGAAGAAAACAATAGAAGATAGGGTTATTTTAGGAAAGTTTGTGCAGACCATCTCGATGCCAACTTTCTGTCTCCAGTGATGAGCTGTCCTCCTCCTGATGTAGGAGAGTGGACAGAGAAAACCCTCGCAAAGGGAAATGTATGTCCTACTTTTAGGCAGCTAGTGGGAGGAAAAAGAGCTCTTTTTTTCATTTGCTGCTGATTAACTGCCTTCAGCTCAAATAATCCTTATCCCAAGTGGTATATTTTGGGGTGGCATATCACAGAAACATGGGAAAGTATATAGAGAAAATTCAAAAATAGAAAATTTAGGATCTATGTAAGTGGTGCCAAATATATAACAAGTACAGGTCCTACCTGCAGACTAAAAGTGAATGAGCTCATTCAAAAAGTCTGCCAGTCAGGAATATATCCCATTTCCACTCAAGAGACTGCCAACTTGTTAGCTAGTACAATGATCTTATTCAAGATCATTTATGTTATAAACAAGCATAAGTTCTTAGAGAAGACTTGCAAAAGTCTTTTATCTATTTATCTATTACAAGGATCATTATAATTAAAACAATGTTATTTAAACACAAAGTCACCTGGCAGGTTCCTGTGGTTGGCAGATAATTTTCAAAAAATATTTGATAGAAATCAAAGATGAAATGAAAAGCTATTATTGTAAACAACGTTATCTCTGCGCAAATCCAGCACACAAAATGTAAGCAATAAAAACTACCTATAAAGATGAGAATCTTTAGTAATCATTCACTCCTACTGCTGATCAGTATGAAGTCCAAACTCCTTAATATGGCTTATGGGCTCCTTCATGCACTGGCCAAGCTTCACTACATAATTTCTACTTTTCTTTCTTGGATTCTCCTGAAAATTAAGGTAGTTCCCCCTCCCAAGTTTTCTCACAGCAACTCTGTAATGTAATTATTTGCTTATCATCTTCTCCCATTTAACTGTAAATCTTTCGGGGCAGGAAATGTGAAGTCTAGCATGCTGTAGGGACACAGTGAATAAAACAGAAAAAAAAAGGTGGTGAGCTACTAGCCTGACTTATGGAAAACCTCAAGATATCTAAGGCAGGTCCATTTACACTAATTATCCTTGAGTTTCTGAATGGCTAAAACATACATTAATGTAGTGAAACAACAATTTCTCAAAGAGGCCTACTATTTTATTTACCAAGCATCTAGTGTATACCAGGTCTTAGAATGACAGAGATGGATATAAACTAGTTTTTGCTTTCAAAATTGATTTATTCCACCCTTCAAGTAAACTTTTTTTTTTTTTAACTGCAATGATAACAAAAACTAAAACATTAAAGATCATTAATGAGTTACTTTAAGGGTAGTGGAGTAGGAGATAGGAAGGGAAGAGAACAAACTACATAAAGTTGGAAAGCTCTCTTTTAGCCAATGAACTGTTTAACCAGGCAGTTAACTCTTGCATGAATTTTTGTTCATCAAGATTAAGTCCAAAAGGGAGTAACAGTTACTGTCTAAACCGGTGGTTCTCAACCCCCTGGCCCTTTAAATACAGTTCCTCACGTTGTGACCCAACCATAAAATTATTTTCGTTGCTACTTCATAACTGTAATGTTGCTACTGTTATGAATCGTCATGTAAATATCTGATATGCAGTATGGTCTTAGGCGACCCCTGTGAAAGGGTCGTTCGACTGCCAAAGGGGTCGCGACCCATAGGTTGAGAACCGCTGGAACCATCCGTGGGTGGGCAGGCATGACAGAGGATCTCTAGAAATATATTCCAAGACCAAAAAGGGGCAGTATTGGGGTTACCAAAGTCTTGGCATTCTCCTAATACAGTGGTCGGCAAACTCATTAGTCAACAGAGCCCAAATATCAACAGTACAATGACTGAAATTTCTTTTGAGAGCCAAATTTTTTAAACTTAAACTATATAGGTAGGTACATTGTTATTAACTTAACTGGGGTACTCCTAAGGCTTAGGAAGCCACACTCAAGGGGCCAAAGAGCCGCATGTGGCTCGCAAGCCACAGTTTGCCGACCAAGGTCCTAATATAACAGGGTATTCATGCTAATTTAATGGAAAGCATACCATATGCCCTCCTGCAATCTCCACCTGTGGAGAATGTCAGGAAATGTTTTAAATGCCATTTTGAACTCCCTCTTATTAATTCTTTTATTCCCTTTCTTGACCTTTTATCAAGAAACTCTCCAACTCTACCACTTACATTTCAGAGAGAACAGGTACCACTTAACTTTATCAGAATCTAAGAGCTCCACATATAAGATTATATGCTCTTGACAGTTTTATTACACAGTGCTGGGTAATGTCTATTTTCATGTTTTACTTACTTTAACCTTTTTGTTCATGTTTCCTATGTCCATATTTTTGAAGTGATCACTGGTGTAGATAGTGGGTGTCATCATAGAGTGGGCAGCTTTCCCCAGTTAAAATTTTTCTATAAGCACCACAGTCATTGATAAAATACAACCCCAATTTTTGTCAAATGTATGTCCAGAGAAATGGCCACAGGTTGTATTTTTTTTTTTAAACATACTTCACTGATTTTCTACAAAGAGGAAGGGAGAGGGACAGAGAGCTAGAAACATCGATGAGAGAGAAGTATCTATCAGCCGCCTCCTGCACACTCCCCACTGGGGATGTGCCCGCAACCAAGGCACACGCCCCCGACCGGAATCGAACCCGGGAACCCCCCCCCCCCCCCCCCCCCCCCCAGTCCCCAGGCCAACGCTCTATCCAGTGAGCCAAACCAGCTAGGGCCACAGGTTGTATTTTATAGAACATAATAAAACCCTAATAAAAAGTGAATGCCATAAAAATCTGTTTCTATTTATATTAAGTAAAATTAAGTCACAATTCATTTTTTAAAGAAGCTCATATAGAAATCGACCTTCCATTAACCAATAGATGAGTTTCATTTATGTGAATAACTTCAATTTAACATACCATAGATTTTCCCCTAAGATGTGGTGCAAACCAACACCTTGTAAATTAAATTGTATTTACCTAAGATAAAAATTTCAGCACATGCATGATTTCCAATCAATCTTGAATTGGCAATTTAGCTTTTCTAACTCAGTCAACTATGGAGTTTCTCTTTTTGAGAGTTGGCTGTAGCATTTGCAACAGGAAAGCCTATTCTGCAATGTGACTAATGTTCCTGTTTTAGTGCTCACTTTGACTGATTTTAGCACAAGCTTTACAACAATGTTGAGACTTTTTACAACACTTAAGGCAATAATTCTAATATCACAACTTTAAGTTTATGTCCAAGTTAATAGTGTTCAAGCTCCTAATGCTCTAATCCTTTATTTAAAATAATAAAGCTAACATTTTAAAATCATTTACTGTGCGATCAACTTTTGGGCCACTTTAAATCGTATTTTTTCATTTACTCTTCATAAAGAACCTTAAGAGCCACCCTATAACTATTCCTAATTTACAGAAAGGGAACAGAGAGCAATAGGGAAATCAGGTCCCTTGTCCAAGACCAGAGAGCTAGTAAGCGATGGAGCCAGAATTCCAACCCAGGGCTTCTGCCTTCAGAGGCTAAGGATCTATTCTGTAAAACGCTGAAAGCTGATCACTGACTAGAGGACACTTTACATTAAAAATATGACTATGCAGTAGTAAAAAAGAATCTCTTATCTGTTGAGACAGCATGGAGGGACCTGGAGAGAATCACGCTAAGGGAAATAAGTCAGTCAGAGAGAGACAAGTATCACATGATCTCACTCATATGTGGAACCTAAGTAACAAACTGATGAACTTAGTGGATCCAGAGACATGGAAGCATGGAACAGAGTGCAGGATCTGAGGGAAGGCTGGGGAGGGTGGGTGGGTGGGTGGGAAGTAATCAACCAAGAACTCTGGGGCGGGGGCAGGCTGGAGGGGGTCAATGGGGGAAAAAGGAGGACATGTAATACTTTCAACAGTAAAGAATCATTTTTAAGTGTATATATATATATATATATATATATATAATATAACAAAATATGACAAATATCATATTGAATTTGTCATATTTTGTTCTGGTTTCTGAACCCAAAATAGCTCAGGTAATCCTTTTTCTTTAAATATCTTTTTATTGATTTCAGAGAGGAAAAGAGAGACAGAAACCTCAATGATGAGAAAGAATCCTGGATCGGCTGTCTCCTGCACGCCCCCCACTGGGGATGGAGCCACCAACCCGGGCATGTGCCTTGATCAGAGTAGAACCAGGGACCCTTCAGTCAGCAGGCTGACACTCTACCCACTGAGCCAAACCAGCTAGGGCTCAGGTGATCCTTCCTAATGGCGAATCAAGGGTAACAGTAATAAGGCGAATTTATTGAGGAGCTACATGAGCTTATCCGCTTAGCACCGAACTTGGAAAGCACCTCCAGGAAGCACTGGAAAAAGCGGTCTTTTATCCCCATCATCTTAGTCAATGCTTATTGTGAGAGGATGGATCCTGGGTTGTCTGAGCTTCTACCCAAAACTAGGCAGCACGGTGCCCCGGCACAGAACGTGACCTCGGGAATCTTCACCGCGGCCCTAGAAGCGAGGTTACTACCGCCCCTTCCCCACTGAACAAATGAAGAAACGGAGGCCTCACCGGTGCCCAAATCCTGAAGCCGGCGAGCAGTGTGGAGAGACGGGGGCAAGCCCTGGGTTACTTCTGGATCGCCCTCGCCCCTCCCTGGGACTCAGTGTTCTTTCTCACCTGTGAGATCTACACCCTCGGGGAGGCCAGGGTGCGCCATCTCCGCCCTCCACGGCCGCCTCCCCCACCCCACTCCACGCCAAAGCTCCGGGAAAAGGCACCGGGCTGGGCGCCCAGGACGCCCGCCGGTCGCCCTCCCTGCCTCCCTCGGGGCCGCCTCAGGGCCCCGCGCCCCCGCGCATCCACCAAGGCTACCTGAGCAGAAGCGAGGAGCGAGGGTGCTGGGAAGCGCCAGGCCAAGAACCGACTCGCCGCTCTCCGAAACACCGACGCGTTCAGCTCCCCAAGCTTCCCCGCCCATCGGGGCAGCGGGCGACGGCAGCCAATGGGCGTCAAGCCACTGCAGGTCTCAGCCAATGAGAAGGCACCAAGCTGCACAGAGGAAGGCGGGCCGAACCTCTAGCCACGCCCGCGGCTCGAACCCGGGGCCCCGAGGGCTAGTCGCTGAAGTTGGCCCAAGCAACGTGTGTTTGCTTGGATTGGCTGGCGTGGCGGCGTGCGGAGTGCTGATTGGTCCCCGGGAGATGGAATGATTCCGCGTGGGTGGGAGGTGGCGGGAACCGGCCAGGGTTCCTTGGTTACGAAGTTTCCTCTGGGTTAGTCTCGGGCTGGGTGTCCCAGGGCCGATTCCCGCTGGGAGAAACACACACACAGAGGGAGTGCATGGTGACAGTAAGGGGTTAGGCTGGCTTAATCTCCCCGACTATTCAGATGTCGTACCACGCAGCTGCACTACCCCCCAGGACCGAAGTCAAAGTAGAGAAGGCGCCTGGGCTGAGGGTGACGCGCCCCTCTGCCCCCACTTCTCCTGACTTAGAGTTGAGGACGCATATAAACAAAGTCATTGCCACAGGGCGAATCTGTGTTCTCAGATAAGGGAATTTAGAGGGCAAACAACCTTGACATTAGAGAAGAGGTGTGGCAGGTGGCTTTAGCAGCCTCATAAAGTGTTCTGGTTTTCATCTCTTTGAAGGTAACGTTTTTTTTTAAAATTTCAAGTCATTTTATTTATTTATTTTTAAGCAAGTTTACTTTTAATATGTAGAATCTGATCCAGAAAGAAATTTGAAATGATCATAGTGGCCCAAATGGTTATATATATATATATATATATATATATATATATATATATATATATATTTATATATATATATATATATATATATATATATATATATATATATATATATATATATTATAGACAGATAATGTAAAGCCCCAAGAAAGGACATATTCCCTGAGTTGCAGATTTGATGGCAGAGCTGAGTTATGACCCCAAGAATTCTGGATTTTTCTTGCAGAACCAAAGTAGTTCTGGTCAGAAACTCCCAAATAAGGGTCTCTGTGCTGCAGCTGGTTACTGGGTGGATAGGAACAATAAAACTGCAAGACGTGCCACGAGGTATGAAGTAGGGACTTGATTTCCACTTAAAAGTTGTGGGAGGTGGGCAGCAGATCCGATGAAAGAAGCAAGACACACATGGAGAAACATTTTTTCGAGGGGGTTCCTTCTGCCTGGGTCGCCTGACAGAGATACAGGGGCTCCTGCAGTCTTTCTGGTTCTGAAAGGTTCACTCCAATCAGGAGTGAAGATAACTTTTGATCTAGTGGCTGTGAAGTCACCCATCTGATAGGATATTTGGCAAATCTGAATTCTAAGAATCAGGTGTTGGCAAATTATATTTACTAATATATATAGTTTAAAAACCAGGAATAAGAAGGAATGCACTGCTACTCCATTAGTCACTATTGATAGACTTGCAATGAGAATAAATAATACTTTATAAATTTTAAAATTAGCATCACTGAAAGAACCACCACACACCAATTGCTATTATTAGCTTTTTAAAAAATCTTACCCCAATGTTTATCTACAAAAGGAATGATAGCCCTAGCCGGTTTGGCTCAATGGATAGAGTGTTGGACTGTGGATTGAAGGGTCCCAGGTTCGATTCTGGCCAAGGGCACATGCCTGGGTTTTGGGCTCCATCCCCAGTAGGGGGAGTGCAGGAGGCAGCCAATCAATGGTTCTCTCATCATTGATGTTTCTATCTCTCTATCCCTCTCTCTTCCTCTCTAAAAATCAATAAAAATATATTTTAAAAAATAAATAAAAGGAATGATAATTTGTATGGTGATTACTTTTCCATTATCATCTCACAAATAAAACACACCTACCTTGGGGCTAAGTGGATTCAATGAAATATAAAGTGTGTAAAACTTTATACAAAACACTTTCCTACAACTATCTCAAAGTATTACCCATTTATATGCAAACAAGGACCACAATAATTGGCCAATAAATAATTAGCAAATTACCTTAAGACAGATTAGTTTCTGAGTAGTTGGACTGGAATTTGGTCCAAGTCTGCTGGAAACTCTTAACTCTCACAAAAACCAATGGGTTTCATAGCTCTCTGTCAAGTATATGTGCACAGCAGTGGGGAACAGAAATAGAAGGCCTAATACCTACCCAGAGGTTTACACCATTTAATGGAGGAGAGGAACAGGTTCTCATACCCTTTTCAGAAAAGTAGAAAATTAGTATCTCTTATTATTAGCATTCAGATGTGGGTACGTTGCTCAGCAGTTTTGCATATTCTCTCACAGAACCCAGTAGAACATATTTAAGACAAAATTAATGGCTTTCCTTTCGGTGTAAGGGGTTGCTGCATAAGGTCATTACATCACACTTAGGGCCAGTAGGGTGGTTTCTATTTCTTTGCCTTTTATTCTTCATCGGTTGTCATGTTTTTGGTGGTTACAAGTTAGGGTAATTAAAAACTACCCCATGTCCATCAAACTGGAATGCTACTAAAAGCAAAACTGCAGGTTCAGAAAAAAATATATGTCCTCTAGAGCTTTTGATGAGGACTTACTATGGACCAAGCACTGTGCTAAGCATTTTACACATATTGATTCATTTAACCCTGATAACAACTCCATAAGAATGCACTATTATTATTATACTCACAATGTAACTATAGCATAGAGGGCAACAGACAGGTCCCCCCTCCAAATAATGTTAATATGGAGAAATAAACTTTTCATCCAGAGTTTAACTACAAAAGAGATTTGTAATGTATTTGACCAACTGTATGGAAAAATCACCCTAAAGAGACAAAACTCATTTAGCTTCTCTGACAAGTTCTGACTCTAATCAGACTAAATATATTAACAAATCTAAAGAGTTTCCAAGAAGAAAAGCAGGAAAAAAATTCAAAACACAGAAATAATATATCCATAATTTCTGACCAAGAGATAATAAATCTAGAAACAAAAACACACATGCACAAATATCCCCAACTACTTAAAAACTAAAAAAAATAAAAATAAAAAAATTTGTCCCCAAATTCTGATCAAAAAGAAAACTAATTATTGCATAGTGAAAATATTAATAAAATATTTAAAATATCAATAAATATTACCATTATTAAAAATAAATTTAATAAATGCTCCAACCAAAAGACATCAAGTGGCTGAATGGATAAAAAAAACATGGCCCATACATCTGCTGTCTACAAGAAACCCACCTCATTAGAAGGGACTCACACAGACTGAAAGTGAAAGGATGGAAAAATATCTTTCAGGCAAATGGAAAGGAAAAGAAAGCTGGGGTAGCAATACTTATATCGGACAAAATAGACCTCAAAGTGAAGGCCATAACAAGAGATAAGGAAGGCCACTTCATAATACTAAAGGGATCAATACAACAAGAAGATATAACCCTGGTAAACATATATGCACCCAATGCAGGAGCACCCAAATTCATAAAAAAACTCCTGGAAGATATCAAAGGAGAGATCGACAACAATACAATCATAGTAGGGGACTTTAATACACCACTGACAGCACTGGATAAGTCCTCTAGACAAATAATCAGCAAAGATACAGCAATCCTAAATGACTCACTAGATCAGATGGACTTAATAGACATCTTCAGAACACTTCACCCCAATGCCACAGAATATACATTCTACTCAAGTGCTCATAACACATATTCAAAAATAGACCATATATTGGGTCACAAGCAAAGTATCCCCAAATTCAAGAAGATTGAAATCATAAAAAGCGTCTTCGCAGACCATGATGGCATAATATTAGAAATAAACTACAATAAAAACAACCCAAAATACTCAAACACCTGGAAGCTGAATAGCATGCTATTAAATATTGATTGGGTTACCAATGAGATCAAAGAAGAAATTAAAAACATCCTGGAAACTAATGACAATGAAAACACAACAATCCAAAACCTATGGGACACAATGAAAGCAGTCCTGAGAGGGAAGTTTATAGCTCTACAGGCCTATCTCAAAAAACAAGAAAAAATGGTAGTAAATCATCTAACTCTACAACTCAAAGAATTAGAAAGAGAGCAACAAGAAAACCCCAGAGTGAGCAGAAGGAAGGAGATAATAAAGATTAGAGCAGAAATAAATGACATAGAGACCAAAAAAACAATACAGAAAATCAATGAAACCAAGAGCTGGTTCTTTGAAAGGATAAACAAGATTGACAAACCTCTAGCCAGACTCACCAAGAAGCAAAGAGAGAGGACCCAAATAAACAAAATCAGAAACGATAGAGGCGAAATAACAACAGACCCCACAGAAATACAAATGATTGTTAAAAATGCTATGGACAGCTCTACTCCAACAAACTAAACAACATGGAGGAAATGGACAAATTCCTATAAAAATACAACATTCCAAAACTCAATCAGGAAGAATCTAAAAATCTCAACAGGCCAATAACTATGGAAGAAATTGAAGCAGTCATCAAAAAGCTTCCAGCAAACAAAAGCCCAGGACCAGACGGCTTCACAGGGGAGTTTGACCAAACATTCAAGGAAGAACTAAAACCTATCCTCCTCAGACTACTACAAAAAATTCAAGAGGAAGGAACACTTCCAAGCTCATTCTATGAAGCCAGCATCACCCTAATACCAAAACCAGGTAAAGACAACACAATGAAAGAGAATTACAGGCCAATATCCCTCATGAACAAAGATGCCAAAATCCTCAACAAAATCTTAGCAAATCGGATCCAGCAGTACATCAGAAAGATCATACACCATGACCAAGTAGGATTTATCCCAGGGATGCAAGGATGGTACAATATCTGCAAATCAATAAACGTGATACATCACATAAACAAATTGAAAGAAAAAAACCACATGGTCATATCAATTGATGCAGAAAAAGCATTTGACAAAATTCAACACCCATTTTTGATAAAAACTCTCAGTAAGGCGGGAGTAGAAGGATCATACCTCAACATAATAAAAGCCATATATGACAGGCCCACAGCCAACATCATACTCA